TGAGTTTCTTTCAATAAAAATCTTTGTTTGTGTCTGGTGGATTTTTGGTTGAAACATGGTTTTTATTCAGTGGGTAAAAAAATCCAGAAACGTAAGAGTAAAACAATACAGTGTACTCACATTTTTTCAAAAAGTTACTCAAGTAAATGGAACTAGTAACTACAGAACTCTGATTATATTAAAAATAGTTAACAGTTAAATAGTTAAAATCCACCTGATCTTCTTTTCAGTGTTGTAGTTTAGCCGCCGTCCAGCAGAGGGCGCCACTGGTCATCATGCAGCGAAAAGCAGTGACGCAGAAACGAACCGGAAAGAGAAATGATCCAATCAGAGTCCGGAGCTAAATGTAAACACGCTTTATGCGGTTCTGGTTTGAAATATAAACGTAACAGAATATTTACTGTAGTTCTCGTTGCATTGGCAGATTATTTCACTCACTGCTATTTCATCAATATCAAGGAATTATTGACTTTTAGCAAACTCCTATATTTTGCTGAAGAGATGCTAATGAGCTAGTTTTGTGTTAATTCAAGTAAGACATTTGGGCTATAAACACAAATTTAGAGTCATGTTGCTGCTTTCATGATAAAAGTGATGAAAGTCATAAATGTCAAAACTACAACATTAAACAAACTATCTGCAAAATGTTTTTCTTCCTTTTAGGGCCATTGTTTGTTAAATTTACCTGCTATAATCCTTAGAAATAAAATTAAATTAGAAGCAGGTGAAAAGCTGATTGGTCTCGTTAGCTTTTGGCTCTTTTAGATAAGTGGTACCAGTCTGACCAGAACAGAACCTCACTGGGTAAATTGAGAGCGTAGTGCTGCTTGTTTTTTTAACAGCATATTTGGACGACACCCCACAGCAACTCGATCGATTGGAACTTATAACCCAGGTTTGCAAAGCTTAAACGTCAGCTGACAACTCTCATTAAGCTCCATAATATTTAATCCTCTCCAGAAAAATCCATGATGTTGCATCATCACCTAACCCTTACCCTAACACTTACCCTGACCCTTACCCTAACCCTTACCCTAACATAACCCTAACCCTTACCCTGACCCTTACCCTATCCCTACCCTGACCCTTACCCTAACCCTTAACCTAACCTAACCCTACCATAACCCTAACCCCTAAATGTTGAACTTGTCTAAATGAATTTAGACAAAAACAAAAGTAGGACTAAAGACTCACAATTAATCAATTAATCGGATTAAAAATTGTTTATGAATGTTTAAAAAAATACTTCGAAGAACACAAAACTCAGCTGTTTCTGCTTTATTTAATAAAGTACAGGACTACATTCTTGATTATATTTTGGATTAACCGATTAATAATCGGATGCAAAAGGTGCTTAATAGAAAATCATTTTGTTTAAAGAATTTGAACTGGGTGAAACTAAAACTATGATACCTGAGGAGTTTTGGGGAAAGTTTTTTTAAATGCAAAATGTATAATGTGACATTATCTGAGTTTCCATTGAAAACATTGTTGATATTATGTTGAGGTTGAAAATACACAATTTCACAATTTCCACTGAATAAGAAATGCAATTAAAATCACACATAAATAAGTTTGCTCACGCAATTTCATGATCCTGCTACTATTTCCTGTCTACGTCTTCTTTGACGTTTCTGCCTGTAGTAATATTCTCTTCTTGATGATGTGACTCCTGTAATGCGATAAGAAGTTGTTTCTATTGCAGTTTTGTGAAATACGCCAATTATGATACGGCTGGAAAACAACCTAATCCGAATGCAAAAACATTTTATTGAAAAATCTGAGTGCAAATTTATTTTCATAATTTCAATTTGTGTAATTTTATGGTTAAATCAAACACAGCTTCTGTTGCTCTTTCAGCAAACAGCCTTTTTTGAATTTGTATAATCCAGTTAACGATGAATCAAATACTAAATTTGTTGATGAATATTTCAGTTATTGATTAATCCGATTAATCGTTTTAGCACAAACTTAAAAAAGGTTTTCCTGCAGACCTGAAACACTGCAGCCTCACAAGGTTAAGTTTGTCTCCTCCCTACAGAGTCATGACAGGAAACGCTTCTCCTCCGTCTGACCGGGCGACCCTAGAGGTCGTCTGGAAACCTGAGCTCAGGAGGCGAGGCTGGAGACAGGTCAGAGGTCACATGACAGCCAGTACTGCTGTCATCATGGCTGTCAGGCAGGTCAGCAGAGCATCGCTGCACCTCTACAGTCACACGACGTTTAGCTCCAGACGCCAGAACACAAAATCTTACCAAGTATTTCTGTCTGGTTTCTACTGCAAATATCTTAATAAACTTAAAATAAGACAAAACAAACTCACAAGTAACTTTTCATCAAGACACAGGAGCTTATTTTGACTAAATAAATCCTTAATATTGATGAACAGATTTAGTTCCACTGGCTGATTATTTCATTTATGATGTGAGAAAATGTTGAACTCATACTTTTTTAAATTAATATTACTGAATTATTGACTCCCCGATTTTTCTTAAAAGTTACTTGTGAGTTTGTTTTGTCTTATTTACAGTGAAATAAGATATTTGCTCCAGAAACCAGAAATTCTTAGTAATATTTAATGGTTTTGGAATAAATTTGCCAATCCTGAGTCATAGCAGCTTCACCTGCAGCTTCCCTTCATTAGAGTAAAAATATTACACAATAAATCCTTATGAGATTAATCCATATTTGCCTGTTTAATCTGGCTAAATTCACGGTTCCAGATTGCTTTAATAATCCAACACTGAATTGTTTCACTGCTGAGATAAAGAATCTACAAGTCAGGATTTTTACAACTTGAGTTTTGTAAATTAAAAATGCATTTAAACAATTAATATGATTTCTTTCTACAACCAACAGAAGATTTTAAACGTACATATCTAACTTCCTAAATGCAAAGTTTTGCTTCAGTTTAGTTGCATGTTTCATACTAATAAATAAATAAATAAATAACTTTTACTGGTCAGATTTGGCTGTTAAATGCTCAGTTAATAAAGTTTTCATCGCTTCATGTTTCCCTGAGTTGTTTTTTCTCTTATATGAACTTTGGGAACATCAATAAATGTTAAAATCAGAAACTTATTTTCACTTTGAATCAAATCAGCATCATGAATGTCCTTAACGGGTCGGTTTTGGCAGAATTTAGTGATAAAATGAGCCATTAACAAACTGATGAAAGTGTTTCTGCAGTCGATGAAACACAATTAAATAATAAAGAAAATTTTCTTGCTGATTTAATGCATTTAAAAACTGCTTTGATTTGATAGCAAAAATAATATTAATAACATAATTGTTATATTAGGGTCCTATTTATATTTCCTTCAATCAGCTCTTACATTGTCTGCAATATAAAATCAACTAACATTTAAAATATGGTTTTTCTTTTATTCCCAAAAGATCACAATATGTTAATTTCACTGAACTGAGGGGAAAATTGATTCTTTGGATTGAAAACTTTAAACTCATTTTCATTTCAGGTCGAATTTGTTGTAGGATTTAAACTATCATTTAACAAAATGGTAAAATATTACATCTGACAACTTCTCATATTGATGTAATTTGACAGATAAAACCTGATTAGATTCATTTAAGCACAGATATTTTGGGTTAAAATGTTATTTCCGTCCCTCCAACTCGAACTGAACGGATTCGTTTGTTTCTAAAACTACAAATAAAAATAGTGCAGAAAAATTTACGTTATTTGATCAACAAACTTCTTCTGATTGCTGATTATAGAAAATCTATCAGAGGGAATCCCAGTGAATGGGAGGAAGCCCAGACGGAGCAGGAAGTGAGATTTAAATCAAGCTGCACAGGAAGCTAATGGCCAGGCTGATAAAGATTAAAGTGAGTTTTTCTCTCTTCTTACAGACAAAAATCCTCTAAATCCTCAAAATGAAGTTGATATTTTCTGGATTCTTTCATTCAGAGATAAAAAAATAAACCCTAATATTTATACTTTGCTACAGGATTTGTGTAACTTCACAGGATGTTGCTGCAAAGTTATTTACAAGCACATTCTCCTTAACTTCCTGCTTGTTATGATCAATATTTACATTTCACAACAGATGCATCTTCACTACAAAAAGATCAAATATTACCAAATAGCTTTGGTCTAGTTTCTACATAAAATACTTAATATTGATATTAAAAAACAGATTATTTCACTCATAACATGGACATAAAGTTTGGAACAAGAACTTCTTCATCGATACCAAGGAATTATTTACTTCTTTATAAACTTTTTATCTTGTTGAAATGTTACTTCTGGGTCAGTTTTGTTTAATTTCAAGAGAACTAACATATTTACTCCACAAAGAAAATAAAAAGTGCTTGTTAAAATTAAGTGTTTTTGCAGGGGAGTTAGTTGGTTGTACTATAAAATATGTGTCTGGAAAACATGTCAGGCATTCATAAATACAAACAAAAGCAACAAAAAAAGAGAAAATCAGAATAAGGTAACAGAACCGCACACTTTAATCTAGTTTCTGTTACACTTGAAATACGACAAAACTGACCTACGTGTAACTTTCCACAAGAGAAAGCAGCTTGTTTAAGTCAATAACTCTTTAATCTGGATATTAAAACAAATATTTGCTCCACTGGAGATAATTTCTCCCAAGTGAAACAATCTGCAGGTGAAGCAGCACTTTTTAAATCAAGGTTAAGGAGTTAAGCTCTTATTTCTTGCTGAAAAGTTCATTTTAAGTTATTGTCTTATTTCAAACATAGAAACTACAAAACTGCATCAAATGTGCTTGGTGGATATTGTAGTTTTCAGTGGATTGTGCCATGAATCTCCAGTATGTGTCTGGAAAACCCATCATGAACACCAGCAAAAACTAAATCTGAAAAAACCAACAGAAAGAGAAAGAAGCAGGAACTGATATTTGCTCGGACTTTGTTGTTTCTGCATCGACTTGCAGAAGTGAAACTACCAGTTGCGCGAACATCCCGGAAGCTGCGGAAGCGGAAAAGTTTGAGAGCCTCTGGCTTCCTACCTTCCAGGCAGCAGGTCCTCCACAGGCCCGAGTGGGTCATCACCTCCTCGTTCTTCTTGCTCGTCTCGTTCTCGCTCATCGACTTGGTCCTGCAGACGCCGCGGGAGTACAGCCAGTAGTCCGTGCCGACCGCGATGGTCATGAGGCTGAAGGCCGCGAAGGCGCCCACCGTGGTCAGCAGCATCTGGACTCCGCGGTCGAACAGACCCATGTTTCCGCATTCCATGAAAGGGGGACCCCCTTTCCTCTTGATGTACAGGAAGTAAATATTTGAAAATTTGCGGGACCAAACCAAGCCGAAAAACCGGGCGAGACTCGAGCGGAAGGAGAGGGAGGAAGGAGGAGGAGGATGCGGTAGGAACCTTATGGTTGCGTTGGGTGAGGACCTCCAAAAGAGAAAAATAGACCACTAAATTTAGAGTTTATGCAGAGGAAGAGGCAGGGACGTCTCTTCCTCTTCTGTGGGTTTCACTTGTTCCTCTAGCAGGAAGCGGAAAATGCCTCGGCCTGGAGCTGCAGAGGAAGCCCCCACTTGCAGCGAGAAAAGCTGCAAATGTGGATAAAAACACGGAGTTACAGTTGAAGCCTGAAGAGGCTGAAAACAAACCTGGAGCGGGATTCACATGAGATCAGCATCACTTCACTGTTAGCTAATATCACTAATAATTATTATATTCTAGAGGGTTGGTTAGTGGGTCATAAATGAATGACGGAAGGCATTTCTCTCGTTTTAACAGAAGAGAGTAAACAATTCAAGTCCTCTTCCCAGGAACAATCTGTCAAATCAACACGATGGAAATGAGCAAATCAAAGATGAACTAATTCATCGACAGGCCAGGAAAACAGAAAATACCAGAAATAATAAGAATGGAGTGAGGGAGGGGGGAAATAATAAAAAAATAAAAAAATAAATAATAATTAACCGCTCAGATTTTCCTTTTTTCTAAAATTTTGGTCTCCAGTTTCCATATGGAGCCTTAGAGCTCTGGGCAGGTTTCCGCCGAAAATGGGGGTCTGCGGTCAGAGGAGGCTCGGCCGTCGACGATCCGGAGAGAGCGGGGCGCATCCGGCAAGGCAAGCCGACCATCACTCGACATAAAGCCGACAGAAGAGCCAGGAGGACGGGGAGTCAGAGTGGGCGCCGATGGAGGAGGAGGAGGAGGAAGATGATGCCGCTGCTGCTGCTGCTGATGATGATGATGAAGCCGCCGCTGCTCCGGTATCCAAATTCACCGCGGCGGGATCACACCCAGGACAGTCCCGCTTGTGTAGTAGCCCTTGCGCCATGTATTGGGAAGAAGAAGAAGAAAAAAGAAAAAAGGAGCTCGAATGAACGTTGCAATGCTCCCCCTCCTCTTCCTCTGGTTCCTCCTCCTCTTCTTCCTCTCCTCTTCCTTTGCGCTCACGGATGGATGCGGGTTTGCTCGCTTTTGCAGGAAGAGAGGAGGAAGGAAGAGAGAGAGAGAGAGAGAAAAAAAAACTATATTACACAATCAGGAGAGGGAGACGGTGCTGGTGTTGTCACGATGTGCGCGTTCACACGCTCACTTCGGCTCCTCTGCGCTCAGTGGCAGCAGTTTGCGGAAGCCGCTCTGCAGCATAAAAAATAATAAATACATCTGCTGGGGGGATTTTCTCCTCTTCTTCCGTTTGACTTTTTTGGTAAATAGTGAATTAGTGGGTGAGATTTACGCATTTCTGGATCCAATTGTTGCAGCGTGCTCTCTGAGTCACATCCAACTTCATTTACTTCCTACCAAATAACTAATAAAACCGCAAATATGAAGAGAAATGCAAAGATTTTCACTTTATTCAGGCATTCAATGTTTAATCTGATGATATAATGTACATTTGTATCTTTGAATGTCAGATATAAGTCGCTGTTTCAAGCAGAGTGGTGCTGAAAGGACAGCTCCCTGCAGGCCCCCTCTGTGGACTCTGTCTCCCTCTGCTGGCCACATATCGTAACTACAACAGCTAAAAACAGCCCTCTTGTCCTTAAAAATCTGATTTTCCTCTAACGTTAAACAAAATATCTCAATAAATCAATATCATAGTAGTCCTATTAATGCTGAAATACTTTATATAACTTATATTTTAACTAAAACATTTCAGTGAAAGCAGCAAATCCGCCTCTTGGTACTGGAACAGAATGTTCTCTCTCATTTACAACAAACTGCAGCAACAATCATCTGTAAGGATAAAATCATCTTCATTTTGCTTAGTGACTTTTTTTTGATTGGTTGTGATTAAATTTATTTTAAAAAGGCGGCAAAATACAGACGGAGACGAAAATATTTTGATAAACTCATAAAACAGAAAAAAACAATATTTGAAACACTGATCAGAATTTACCTTTCCTGCCTTCCTTCTTTCCTTCTTTCCTTCCTTCCTTCCTCCCACACTCACATACACACATACACACGCACGCACGCACGCACGCACGCGCGCGCGCACACACACACACACCCACACACACCCACCCACACACACACACACACACACACACACACACACACACACACACACACACACACACACACACTCCATGCATCCTGCAGCCAATCCCCAGATGACCTCTGGGGTCAGACGCTGTTACTTGAGTAACTTTAGTATTTTTACTACACTGTCCTTTTTACTTTTACTTGAATATTTTTATTATGAGTAAAATTTCTGGATTTTCTACCCATTGAATGAAAAACAAAAATGTTTTGACTATAAATCCACCAGACAGACACAAACCTGCAGTTTTTGTTAGAAGAAAGAAACAGATTTGGAAAAAATGTTTTGCCTGATTTTATTTTATTTTTGTTACTTATATAAATTATTGTCATTTTGGTCCTAAAAATACCAAAATACCCACTCAAGTTTTCATTTTGATCCATCTGATGATGTATTTTTTAAATAATAAATGATTAATAATTTGATAAGTTACTCAGTACTTCAGTTACTTTTTACCAAATACTTTTTTATTCGTACTTGTGGAATTTCTTGCATGATTACTTCTTACTTTCACTTGAGTACAAATAAAAACAAAATGCTACAAGTTCCTTACATTTGAATCTAATGTTATATTGTTGATAAACTCGTCAAGCTGCCAGTTTAATCCTCCCTGAATCTCTCCATCGTTCAGTTCTTCCTCTGTTTTTCTCCACTATCTTCTCTTTCTCTTTCATGGTTCATGTGCAAAGAAACACTTTGGCAGAATCTGCGGCGCCCTCTAGCGTTGGCAATTTGTAACAGCTACTTCCTGAATCTTTTAAAAAGTTTTAAGCAAACATTTGGAGACTATTTTCAGATAATATTGCTTTTATGTTGTTTTTTTTTTACTGTGTAACATTACTAATGGCACCTGTTTATTTTCAAAAACCTGAACCACCTTTAGGCATGCACAAGGTGAGAAAATTATGATACATGCCCGTTTACTGTCAGCCGGTGGATGACTTGGGAAACGTGGGCGGGGTTTTTCTGCTCATGTAAAACTGTCAGAACAATGTAACGTTTTTATTTCATGACAGCGTGACAGTAATTCAACAAAACATCATAAAACTGAATAAAATCTGTAGACTCCGCTTTGCGCCGCTTGGTGAGCCGGCTGACAAATGGGGCGCACCCAGAAAGTTATAAAAGCTCAAATGGTTTCTAATAATGACAATAAACCGGGTTTTTGAGCGGAACAAAGAGTCCATTGAAATATTGAATGGGAGGAACCTTTTCTGTGATAGGTTGTCGGAGTGAGCTGCTTTTATCTGATTGGCTGTTGGACTTTCGCTGGTTCGCGTTGGACTGAAAAGTCGCTTTGTTTTCATCTGTTGCTCAGCTGAATACGGCGCTGAACGGGTTAACGCGGTGGGTGCGGTTCAACCTGCTGATGTGGAGGAACGAGAAACGAAACCGAGCTCAGATATGCAGGTCAAAGCAGAAACTTTCTCACAGAGGCTCAGTTTACAGGCTCAGCTCCACAACTCCGCATAAAATCTTCTGTCCACTCGGAAAATTCAGTTTTATTCATGCAGGAATAAAACAAAACCTACAGGAAGTGGAGAGAGAGGAGAAAATATGTCTGCAGCAAGGTAAGAGAAGCGCACAGACAAACTGAACTGAACTGAAAATGACAGTGAATAAAATGTCGCATCTTCACAAACAAACAACCTGTCGATTTTTACACACCTCGTCCTTTACTCAGCTCTTATCGCGTATTTAACGGTTTTGAAATTAATTAAAATACAGTTTAAACTCTTCCTATGGAGAAGAAAAAGCGCCACATGTTTCTAGTAACTCAATGACGAATTAAAAGGATAAATATTGAAGTTTTATTTTTAGATTAATTTGGGACAAACTTTGATCTGAGCTCAGTTCAGTGAGTTTTGGAGACATCTAGTGGTCAGTTCCTGGAACTGAGCGCGATTAATGCAAACAAACAAGTTTATATTTCAGCAACAAAACGCGTCATTCAAAGGGCTTTAAATCATGAAAATATTACATGGCAGCGGTTTATAGAGGAATGTGGTGAAAAGTTGGAATAAATGAACCATCCTGTTGTTGAAACTCTAGAAGCTTCGCATGTCTAAAATGCCTCTCATGTTTTAACATAACCAGTTTTCAGACAGTCAGGAATAGAAAAAAAGCTTTTATAAGACAAGGAAGTGAAGAGATGGTTTGGAGAATTTACTCTGCAGCCATTTCCAGGTTATTCAGTTCATCTTTACTGTATTTACTGCAGTTTATTCATGTGTTGTTCACATGTAAAATCATTTACTTTGACTTTATTCTTTCCACCACGTCACCAGTGATGCAGAGTTACATTTATCCACATTCTCTTTACCAGGATAATGTCTAAACAGCTTCGACTGAGGATGTTTTGATTTGGTAATGGCTGCAGATAGTGGAGATTCATCACAGATGATGGAAATCTGTAGCTATTCAAAAAAATGTCACTTGAACAGAACCATCTTCCAGTTTTAGATATTTGGAGTCTTTGGATGATCTGCAGCTTTAGGAGCGTCTGTTGTTTGCTTTATTTGCAAGAGTAAAATTACTAAAATAATAAATGTTAACACTTTTTATTGCAAATTTAAAAATTTATGTTTGGAAAGAAAAATAACTCAATAATACTTTTCGTCAAAATCATTTTAATTTTGATTAATGTTTTCAAGAGCTGATGGAGCCATAATGTAAAGATAAAACCCATTACATTAATCAGTCCCTCTAGATTTTTTTTTACCCCCAGTGCTTCTAATTTAGAAATATTTGCCAGGAATTTTGCAATATTTTCATGTAAGTGAACCCAGGTGTCATTGTAGGTGGAAAAAAAAGTGCTAAATTTCTGCCCCAAAACTAAGAAATGTTACAATTCATCTAAAAAATAATAATAATAAAAAAACTGAAAAATTCTCAGCTACAAAAATCAAGAATTTGATAAAAAGAAGAAGAAAGGAAAAAAAAAAACCCAGAAACTTTCTAGCAAAAAAATTCTGACTTTCCAAAGTAAAAAATGTTTCACCCTTTAGTCTCAGAAATTTCCAAGGTTTTTAAATCACATTTTTGATTCTTTAAATTCAGAAATTTTCTTGTTTCTTCCTAGAATATTTCTGAGAACTCCAAAAATGTTTTGGTATAAATGCACCAAAACATTGAAAATGCACCAAAACATGTTTTCTCCTACATATTATGATGTTTCTAAGTTATTTAAGTGCCCAAAGGTCTGTATTATCATTATTATTATTATTGTTTTCTTTATCGCATTGGCGATAAAGAGCATTATCGCCAATGCTCTTTATATGCCGTTGTAAAAACATCATATTTATTGTTTGAACATGTTATTTATCTCTTAGATTGTCAATTTTTACATATAACTTGTGTTTCGCGCCACAGGAAGGAGCTAGCGGCGGCTTTGAGCCGCTACGTCTCAGAAACTCTGGCCTCCATGCAGCTGGCCAGCGGATTCTGTGCCATGTTCTCCAAATGGATGCTGTGGAGGGAAACTGAGTTGGAAATGATGCTGGACATCAAAGACAGAGCGGACAAGGTGAACCTGGACTTCAGCCACGTCACTCAGTCGGAGCAGAAAGGAAAGGCGTTTGTGGAGTACATGAAGAACAAGGTGAGCGGTCTGACGGCGGACAGCCGGCTGGCGGAGCTGCAGAGCGAGCTGGCGGTGGTGCTGAGCGACACGCTGGACGGGCTGCAGAAGCTCGCCTGCTTCCTGGACGCGGTGGAGAAGCTGGCGGTCACTTCGCTGCATGTCTTCGCGGAGAACCAGACGCTTCAGCTGCCGGGAGACGTCGGCGCCGACGGCGTCCAGGCGGTCGTCACCGCCGCGCGTCTCATCTGCCCGCTGCTTCTGGTGTTTAAGAGAGATGACAGCGTTTTCTTCCTGCCTAAACTCCAGAATGTGGATGTGATGGCTCACCAGCTGGATCGATACATCCAGACCGCCAA